CAAAAGTCCAGTGTGTCCAAGCCGGTCCGGGCTGGAAGCGCGGTCTTTGCAATAAGTTCAAATGAGAAGGGCTGACATGGGCAGACCTTAGCCGGCAACGAGGAGTCATTTGTAACTGCAGCGTCTCAGGTCAACTCGAACAACTTTTGAAGACCCTCCTTCAACAAACACCCTTGGCGTGTTTCTTAGTCGACGTGTGGAACAACCTCGATTTTTAGAGCAGATGTTGAGATGAAATGTTCTGTCTGGTGCGCAGTTCATTCGTCCCAAGCATTCCCAAGCCATGGTTTTCCGCTGGTGGGCATGGGACCAGGTGGAAGCTGACATCCAGGCAGTGTTGGCGGCCTTGGCAGCGTTGTATTGCACTTATGTTTGTTGTCCTTTCTGCGCTAGGCCTGGGCGCAAAAGAATTATCCGACGCACTATGCCCAGCTGATCAAGCACGAGGCGCATTGGATTTTGATTTTCTCTCTTTTGCAAGTCCTTCGGGTGAGAGACAACCCTGAGCGCAGGTGTTGCAAAGCCTGAGCGAGACTGCTGTTGTTCGTGCAGCTCTCCTTCCATCGGAGGTGGTGATCAGAAGCTTCCCCTCAAGTTGTTTTCTATTGGGTGCAGGTGGTCCCCGCCCGAAATCTGGCTGCAGGTATACGATGCTTCGATCGCTGCTTTGCCTGACCACATTCAGCTTTTGAAATCTGGATATTCCTTCATTCTAGCAACTCGAGCATGGCCCGCGGCCATCGTCCTAGAGGCAGTTTGTTTCACTTTGCTGCCGTGTGTGCTGTGGCAAGTTTAGGATGTCACATGACGCTCATATCCTCCTCCCTCCATTTCCCGGCTTTCTTGCAATAGACAGGTTCTTCGCTTCAGCTTTTCATGGACAGGCCTCAGGCACTGCTGCGGTTTGCACCGCCATGGAAGAGTGACAGAGAAGTTTTGATTGGAACCCAGCGACAGGACCATGAAAAAAATGCAGCAGCAACAAGAGTTGCAAGCCTAGTGCGCAGCGCGCAAGCAGCAGGAAGTAGGAACCTGATGCGGTCGCGTTTTTGCATGCTGAAAACATGGTTCCTTCATGGGTGCAGCGACCAAAATCCCTCTCAAACTTCATTTTGTGCGCCCGCCTTTCCCAAGGCACGAGTCTTTGGCGGTGCGAGTTTGCAAGATTTGCAAGTAGCTTGACAAAAGTTGTCGGGCTGCAGATTTGGCCCTTAGCCACTTTACAAAGCTGGCGGAGGCCAGTTTCATCACCGCGATTGTCTTTGGCATCTACACGTGAACCAAGAGAAGAGGACTCCTATCATTGTGATGAAGACATGGGAGATAATCAGAATGCTACGCTGCCTTGGGCGCTGATCATTTGGTGTGAACATCGCTGCATTCACTCAAGGACTGCAGCCCGGTGAGTGCAGAAGCAGAGGCCAAAACTTGACAAGTCCTACTATTGCGCTTCTGCAAGCTTACGTGCCGCTGTTCCAATCAGGTTGAACCTTTTTGTGTCACGGCTATGCCAGGACTACCAGCGTGTCACCAATCTTTCAAAGAAAGCCCGGAGGAGGCTTGTTATCGGCTCAGCCTTGCGGCGGTACCGTGATGGCTATCCAGCGTTGCGTGCCAGCAGCCTGTGACTAGTTTTTTCAGCCTAGGCTAGGAAGGAGATCAAGGCCAAACGGGCCTGGGCCTTTTTGCTTTTTCAAACCATGTTCTGCCAAGTCTGATCCATTTATGTTGCTTCTTAGGCTGCCGTCAAAAGGGATGGAAGGTGGCCAGAGTTGGGAGGGGCGGGCGCACCTTGGAGTTAGGTCCTTTGCTTGGCGCTTTTCTCCCTCTTGGCATTCAAGACTTGTTCCAATCAATGTTGCATTTTTTGAGGCTCAACGAACATACAGTTCGCGCTAAAGATTATGATCTTTGTGTAAGCATTTAATTTATGCAGAGTCAAAGGAAGTTTAGAAGTCTAACTTCCGACTTATGGACTTATGGAAAGATGCAGCCAAGGCAGCGGAAAAGAGTCATAAGAAAGAAGACCGAAGTGCGCGAAATGTTTGGAAAGTCTCGAGATGCTGCGTTTAAATGCGGCGGGGGCGGACCCAGTCCGGGAGATGGTCGATCAAGAAGTGACAAAAACCTCGGTAAAAGTACTATGTTGAAATGAAAAACGGAAGCGACGAGAGGGTGGACGGAGGGGAAGCGTGGGAAATAGCTTGGGGAGAGCTCCGTGGGAAGGAGCGATACGAAAGCGACGAGGCGGAAGGGAAACCATGGGAAATAGTTAGGAAGAGCTCCGTTGGGAAGGAGCGAGATGGAAGCGACGACAAGGTGGACGGATGGGAAACTGTGGGAAATAGCAAGAGATTTTGGCAAAGCTTTCAGTGTGCAAAGCTATGGAGGTGTCTTTCTTGTGTCGTTTCGCGACCCTGGCTTGCGGCAAGTTGGAAGGAAGGTGCGTCGATGAGGATTGCTTGCAAATTCTGCAGGCTGCAGGCTCTAGGCCAACCTTGCGTTGCTCACGTGCAAGCCAGCCAGACCAGAATTGATCCAAAGATGGAAGGATCCAAAACGCGCACACCCGCTGCATCCCGCACCGTTGTCATCGTGGATAAGTTCCTTGGCTTGCATGGAGCCATGAAAGATTTTTACAGGAAACAAGTTGCAAGATCCCACCACAAATTCCGAAGCCCACCAGCGTCGCTTAGTATAGAACTTGTAAGGGCAATCTCAGGTGGCAGGTCCAAAAACATGTACGCATATCCAAAAGTTTTGTTGTAAGGTCCATTAACGGGGCCCAGGTCCAAAAGAAATGGAATGAGGCCCAAAAAAGGTGCCAAGAAATAATAGGGTAACAAGAAGGAAAACAGAGGGAAACAACAGGGAAATAACACGTAAATAATATGGAAATAATAGGGAAACAATAAGGAAATAGTAGGGTTAAATACTATCGAAATAACAGGGAAACACTAGGGAAATAATAGGGAAATGATAAGGAAATAATTGGGGATTAATAGGGAATTATCCGAAGGGATTGGAGCCCCAATGATTGACCCAGTGTCATTGGAAACCAGTGGAATCAATGCAGACTAACTAATCATAAATTCTTTGTGGAGGCTAATTGTTCATCCCATTTGCAATGGACACTTTTTGTGACTGGAATCGCTGGAAACTGTATGAATAAAAGTATTTCTTGTGCTGGCACTTTATATTTTTCAAATGAGGGCAGTCCCCTGTGTTTTGATGGGGTGTGACCCTGCTGTGACTGGGTCGTGGCGACTTTTCCGCAAACGATTTGTCCACATTCAAGTTACTTTACTTCGAGTTATCCCCACCATGACATCTATACGTTTTGTTACTGGCAAATCTTCTGGCATTCTATCTGACATATCTTCTGGCATTTTATCTGGCATATCTTCTGGCATTCCATCTGGCATATCGTCTGGCATTGTACCTGGTATATCTTCTGCAATATGTTCTGGCATATCTTCTGGCACTCTATCTGGCATATCTCCTGGCATATCTTCTGACCTTCTATCTGGCATTCTATCTGGCAAATCTTCTGGCATATGTTCTGGCAAACATTCTGGCACTTTATCTGGCATACCTTCTGGCATTCTATCTGACATTCTATCTGGCATACCTTCTGGCATTCTATCTGGTATATCTTCTGGCATTTTATCTGGCATATCTTCTGGCATTCTATCTGGCATATCTTCTGGCATTCTACCTGGTGTATCTTCTGGCATATGTTCTGGCATATCTTCTGGCACTCTATCTGGCATATCTTCTGGCATATCTGCTGACATTCTATCTGGCATTCTATCTGGCAAATCTTCTGGCGTTCTATCTGGCAAACATTCTGGCACTTTATCTGGCATACCTTCTGGCATTCTGTCTGACATTCTATCGGGCGTTCTATCTGAGATTTTATCTGGCATTCTCTCTGGCATTCTATCTGGCATATCTTCTGACATTCTATCTGGCATAGATTCTGGCATTCTATCTGGCATATCTCATGGCATTTTACCTGGCATTTCTTCTGGCATTCTATCTGGCATATCCTCCGGCACACTTTCTGCCAGTCTATGTGGCATATCTTCTGGCATTCGATCTGGCATTCTATCTGGCATAGCTTCTGACATTTTGTCTGGCACATCTTCTGGCATTCTATCTGGCATATCTTCTGGCATTCTATCTGACATTTTATCTGGCATTCTCTCTGGCATACCTTCTGGCATTCTATCTGGCATATCTTCTAACCTTCTATCTGGCATAGCTTCTGGCATATCCGGCAAATCTTCTGGCATTCTACCTGGCATATCTTCTGGCACACTTTCTGCCAATCTATGTGGCATACCTTCTGGCATTCGATCTGGCATATCTTCTGGCATTCTATCTGGCATATCTTCTAACACTCTATCTGGCATATCTTCTGGCATTCTATCTGGCCGTTGAGGTCCAGCGGTGCACACTGAGCTGGGAAGGCCGGAGGTTGAGGTCCAGCGGTGCACACTGAGCTGGGAAGGTCCCAGGTTGAGGTCCAGCGGTGCACACTGAGCTGGGAAGCTCCCAGATTGAGGCCCAGCGGTGCACACTGAGCTGGGAAGTGGTCGAGGAGAAATTGGAGGAGGAGGCGAGGAGGAGGAGAGGCGAGGAAGAGGAGGACAACAACTCTGATAAAATCTAACAACCCTCACCTGGCAGGTGGGGAAAAAATTGTTGCGACTTCAACGCTCGATTGCACTATCCGTACTATCCAGTGAGCATTTGTGGGTCCAACCCCTCGGGTTGTCAGCTCCAGGAGGCTTCCTGTAAGTCCTGCACGAGATGTGAAAGCAGTGCTGAGGCAGCTCAGGCGGGACACCTGAACGGGTCAGAAGGTGACGATTGAACAGCTGACAGCGCATTTTCACTTCCACATATTCCACAACTCATTGAATTTTTTTGACAAGTGCTGCCGATTGCAAAGGAACTGACAAGTCACAGACTGTTCGCAGCAGCTCTGTCAGAGGTCGTTGGGTGTTCTGGATGTAGACACTCTTTCCCAAGCTCGTGCCGAGTTGGGTCGGTCTTCCGCAAAGTGGAAACTTCAGTCGACAGATACAGCAATGCAGCCTGAAAACAGTCAAAATGTCAACCAACTCCACGAACCATCTGAATATTCAAAAAACAATGCCTTGAAAGGTCATATGGTTCCCAGATGGTTCCCAGATGGCTCCAGCATGTCTTAAGGTTAACAAAGGCAAGTCTAGGTCCAAGCCAAGGCAGGGCTCGAAAGGGGCAGGGATTGGGAACAGACCCGTGTCAGAGAATTGTGACGAGCAAGTTGTTTTTTCCGGTGCTTTCCCCTGGTGTGGAGCTGTCTTTGTTTTTTGTTTTCCAAAAACCTACTCCTGGGGACTTCTAGCAGGGGCCGGTGATGTTCGCAGCTGTGATGGGGATGGAGATCACGCCCGCGATGAGCCTCGCAGGGTTCTTACTTCTATGCAGTACTGTGCAGCTGTTCCTGTCCTTCCTGCCGTGCATGTCTTTCCGCAACGATGTGGTAGTTGTGGTGAAAACTGCATGGTAAGAGGGGGGGCCACAACATGCTCTCTAGTTGATGTTCGATGTTGTGGAGTTCTTAGAGAAGAGTTGAGGATTGCTTTGCAGTGATGTGCTATGTGTGAATGGGAAGATTGTAGTTCCGTTGAGTCCTTTCTTCCCAGGTGTCGTCCTGGATTTGTTGGAGGAAGCAGCTGCTGGGCTTTTATAGAGACCAGGCAAATCAGAGTTTGTCTTGTTGATTCATGTTGATTCATGTTGCACCATTGTTTTGACATGTGCATCTTGCTAAACAGTGCAAGGTTGTCACCTAAGGTTATCTACAAACCCAAAGGCTGGGAGGTGGAGCCCACAGCTGGCTGTGCCCACAAACAGCTTTCTGTGCCTGGGACAAGCTTAAACAGTACACAACACCAAACCACTGTGACTGGTTTGCGAGAGGAGAGTGGACACTGTTCATGGTAGTCTTTCTGATATTGCCATGGCACAGAGATATGGCATCCGATTTGTTCACCTTTCAGACCGCCCAATCCGTGTGACCAAGGACTTTGTGCAGCAAACGATGCCGGAAAATGTGATGAACTCCGACGCAACAAATTCCTATGGTTTCTTGCATCGTTTGGATGCGGGAGCCTGAGTGGAAGAAGGATAGTGACCCTCCGTTCTAGCAGTTTATATTTTATTTCAACAGATATCTGCTTGTATATGTTTGCATCAGACTGATAACCGGCCGGTCATGTCTTCTGCATTTCTGGCGTCTTGTTTTATGAATGGATGTGATGACAAGACAGCTTCCTTGACAATGCTTTGCAATTCTCCAAGTGCTGACTGAGGTGGTGACCAGTGGTCTGGTTCTGAGGGCAAAGAACTACAGGGCCTACCACAATCTGGACGCTGGGAGCAGACACACTTCGATGTTGGATTGGAGTGTAGCACTCTCGGTTTGCGTCGTGTGTACCTAGAATACGTAGATTATGATAGTGGCATATAGTGGCTTGCGGTTTTGCTGTGCTCGTCCAAGTGAACTGAAGGATTTTCAGCTAATGGAGGGCAGCATTGATCGAGAGTATCAAGTTCTTTGTCATGGCTTCTGGTCACGAGTTGCTTGTTGTGTCTCGTCCAGTCCTATCCTGGAAAGATTTTCACAGAGGATGCATAGATGATCCTACCTTTTTGGCAAACTTTTGGCGACGACCCCTGTAGGGGTTGTCACCTGACTTGGCCCTTGGTCAGGCCTTGAACAAGCAACTGGATAAACAACGACAAAAACAATTTAAGACAAAGACTTTCCACATTTCACAGCACCTTCTTTTTTCCAGAGAAGTTGAAGTGGACAACCGAGGAAGTAAGAAATTGTTGAGAACTACTTTGCATGTATGCTCTATATTGATCAGTTTTGCTCACGCTTTCTTCTTCCTGATCTACCCATAAACCATCACCGTTTCAGAGAAGAATTGTCAAATTTGAAAGCATTGGAATCTTCTTGAGGAAGTTGCGCGCGAAACGCGCAATCTGAAGACAAAACAGAGTTTCTTCAATTGGCCTGTCAAAATTTTCAGTTTGATAGGCTTCTAGGCTAAGCTCGTTACTCAGGCTTGGACTTGCCCGTCTTTGCCTTGAAGGCGAACCCGTTTGTGTCACTCGTTGCTGATGCCACCGGTGCTTAGTGTTTTGTGCTGTTTGTGCTCAAAAAAACCGAATTACTCGTTATTGGTTCACCCTTTTAGGTTCACCAATAGGTTCACTCCTTTTGTCCCACTTGTCCCGCTTTTCAAGGGTGCTGTGACTCGCCGGAGCCAAGTGGCGACACCGGGAGCACGTCCGGCGAGGAGTGACGTCAAGGCAGACAAAGTGAAACGAAGCAGAAACGAAAAGAATAACATATTAGAATCATATTAGTATATGATTATATAATATATGATATATATATATATATACATATTATATATAATTATATACATATCAATATTAGATCAAGATTATATCAATACAATTCAATACAGTATGTCTATTGAATTTGCTAAGTCTGGAAGGCTTGTTTCACTAGAGAGCTGCTCGTAATGTTTTTCTAGTGTTTGTCCGTTAATGCTGTGAGCGTCCTCAGTCAATCATTGTTTGTTGAGATTTGGCTTCTCAATAAGTTCCAAATTCGAACAAACTTTGCAGTTTGATTTATAATTTATATTGTTTCTCTTTGGATAGTTCCTTTGACGGAAGTAGTTTTTATGCCTTTAGTTTTTCTCCTTTTCTGTTGGAGCCAGGTCTTATCCCATTTGAGTTTTGGATCGAGAGCTCTCAGCTTTGCTCATATATCCATCCAGACAGGACGCCGTGCCTTCGAAGCAAACATGGGTATACCTTCTGCGATGTTTATGTATTTAAAAAAAATATATATGATATGCCGAACGGCTGAAAATGAGCTTTGAAAGTCAGTGGCTTAGGTAGGTAAGGAACCGGCCCGAGAAAGTAGCTGTAGCTTAGATATGTCAGCAGATTGCCCAAATTACGTCAAACACTCCATTGCAGATCTTCTATAAAGTACTTTACACGTCTTTACATCGTTTCTGTGAAGGCTTCTGCTCTTTCAATGCATGGCCAGCAGAAGAAGATAGCGGCGGCACATCGGTAGAATGTTCAGGTGTCCAGAAATCTTCGTTTGGACGACTCGAAGTGGGCGTAAAGTGTTGCCATCTTTGCTGAGGCCATCAGATTCGAGCCCAAGCAGCACATGTCGGCCATCCTGTAGTATCTGACAGCTTTTATACGACTCCAAGCACCTTTGCTGACGACCAGGCGGAAGAATTTGGCGTCAAACTATTCTATCCCAACAGAACTTTAGAGTCAAGCTGCATGACGGATGGGCAAATCGAATCATGAAATACTCACAGGATCTCATAGGCCAGTGGTTGACATGTGGCTGCCCAGACACTATCTGCTGATTGCTTCCTCCATCGCTACCGCTTGTCCTTCACCGATATGTCGGGCGTGCGGCGAGAAGTGTCGCTTGAATGCAGTGGAAGTGTGTCTCAAGCGCATGGGCCGCATGGGTCTGTTACCGAAGTTTGCCAGACAGGAAGCGTGCACAATGTCAGGAATTAGTCCAAGCAGACAGTTTCAGGATGACAAGAGCTGCGAACCCCAACTCCAGAACGCGCAGCGGCACATACGGCATGCCTCACATGTCATCTAGAGAAAGAGTTCCTGAACACACAAGACAGAGCACAGACAGAGCCATACAGAGTCAAAAAGAAAGAACGGAGATTGCAAGACCAGGCCAGCAATGCGCATGATTTGCTGCACCTGCAAGGTCAGGGCTGCAATTCGGTTTCAACTTTCCACGGTTTTCTTTGTAAACTAAAGGGCAGGAGTGCTAAATGCGAACCGGTCAAGAGATCCTATTGCTTGCAAAGATTATTCAATCTGTAGACACGCTTTGCATGGTTGTTTTGTGCTCAGCCTTTCGGATCCTGGAGTTGCAAGCTCCGTTGGCAAGGAAGATGACAAAGTCTTTTACATCTTTTACCGAACCATCAAAAAAGCTCTTGCCCACCAAAATCGCTGTGCAATGAGGTTTATGCCTCTTCCTCCTCACTTATCTGCTGCTTTGAAGTCAGCAGAAGCGACCCTTGGCAGTGCGATAAGCATTTTGAAACCTCCCGCTGTATCCAACTTTCTCAGTCCACGACGCCCAGCTAGTTTTCTTGCGTTTTATGTTCGTGTAGCCATTTCACTCATGGCATAATCTCAGCCAAGCTATCTTCAGGAAAGACCCACGGAATGCTGATTTGCGTTTGAAGCCAAAGAGCTTTGCAGAAACCAAAGAATTTCGCAGACGGGGCAGGACAGAACATCCCGGCACCAGTCGGAGATCTCATCCCCGAGAAGAGAAAAGAGGAAATCTTTGGATATGAGGTGTTGACATCGACATGAAATGAATTGAACACTAGAAACTTTGCAGAAACAAAGGTTGAGACTCAAGTTCTGAACATATATAGATTGTCTCAATCTTTCTGAGTTGATCGTTGAGCCAGTCTTGGGTTGCTTTCTGGCACACTACATGAATGCTGTATAATGCTGTGAGATTGCCTTCCGTGTAAATTTCTGTCTCATATCCCGGGTATCCGGTTGTGCCGCTGCTTGGTGCTTGATCTCAAATCTCCAGAAGCAAAGATTTCTTGCCGATATCCAAAGGTCCAAACTCCAAACTTCCCATAGCTTTTCCAAAGTCGAACTGCCATGGGAAGATGCATTTGAAAGATCTGAAAGGCTTGACCTTAGACCCTGCGACAGATGGACATCACCATAAAGCATTTGATTCATTTGATCTGAGCCTTGACACTTGGAGTCATTTTCCGCGCAGAGCCAGGGATGCCTCTGCTACGACGTTTCTTTTTGGCAGTTTTCAGAGCCAGAAGGACCACAATGTTTTTGGTGAAGAGGTCGAAGAGTGGAACTCAGACTGTCCTCCGTTTTTGCCCGATGGTCGCTCACACAAGCATGGTTTCTGCCGAAAACTCGACCCAGTGAAACAGGATTTCTATCCTCCGGCAAATCCGGAGCCACGGCCGGGAGTTCAGCCGACAGCTTCTCCAGCTTCTCCCCAAAAACCAAGAGTTCCCGTTGAAAAGCCTCAAGTTCCCTTTGAGCTTCCTGCTCAGACTATACGAGAGGAGCAAAAACTTGTGGTGCAGGAACCTCAAGTACCATTCACAGCTCAGAGTCCCCAGAAAACTCAGGCGACTGAGGCGACACTGAGGATGACGAGACAACAACACAAAGAGATGAAACATAAAGATAAGATCGAACCGCCATTTGTAGGTCCGGAGGCTGCAGAAGATGTATCTCCACCGCCATCCGCAGCACGACCTGCACCACCTGTGGAAGTTGACCCTGGTGAACCCCGGCCACCACTCATTGTTGAGCAAAAAACTTCAGCACCGAGCAAAGGCCCAGAGATTGGAATTGTTGAAGATGACCCATCCCCAGAGGAAGAGTTGCTGGAAGCTGAACCTTGGAATATTGGAAGGTTTTTCAGGGGAAAGCGCGGATTGCAGGGTTGTGAGAGTTGCAACTTCAAGTTTAGTGAGCCTAGTGTACTTGTCATATACTTCTCTTGATGCACCTCCAGTACTTTCACCAGGTTCTTGAAAGCCTTCTTACTCGTTCACTGAACGGCTCTGAGGACCCAGAGGCAAAGAAGCTTTTGAACAAGCTGACCGAGGTGAACTTCGAAAGAAACGGAAACGCTATTCTTTTTGCTGAATTAGACCTAGATGTTTCGACTTTAAAACAACACTGGAGTACGTCAGGTGCAAGCTGAAAACCAAATGGAAGTGAAAAAAGGCTGAGCATCGCAAGAATCAATAGTTTAGTCACAGTCTGCCTGGAGACTTCAACAACGACATACCACATACATCCACATACCACAACTCCTTTCTTTGGATTCATTTGCGTGCCAAGCAAAAACTGTAGAAGAGCTGAACGATTTTTTCTGCAGGAGGGTGTGCAGCTGGAGGAGCAGAAAGCGATGGAGCAATTTCTGCCGAAGAATCCGCCTGGAACGCCAAAGCCGGAAGACCAAGAACCCTTTTGGCCACCGCGTGGTGGAACTGCACCTCCAATGCAACCGATCCCTCCAAGGTGCGGCAAAAGCTTTTCATTGACAGATTTCGAATTTGATCGCCTGCTTCAAAACATGGATCCTGATGTTGTCAGATGTCATTTGAAGACCAATCAGATGTCTCCAAAACTTTGCTGATTTGTTATATTTTGTTATCAAATTCCGCTTTTCCAATTTCTGCGAGGCCTGGAGAGGCCGATTACAACTATGGCTGGACACCTCCAGCAGGACGCGTGCCTTACAGCCCGCCTTGGCCCGGTGGTGCTCCGCTCACTGCTGTCGATCGCGCTGAGGCTGTCGCAGCTGAAGTGGGAAATGAAGCCAGTGCTGCAGCACATTCGGTGGAGGAGCCTTGATCAAAAGCCTCAAAAAATGTTCATTTCATAAAGAGTTTGAAAAGAGATAAAAAGATCAAGTTCCCTCGAAATTAGTCTGCACTGGGTCCAAAGTTTGTATAAGGATGTATAAGGACAAGCCAACATGTCAGCAGACAAATAGAGGCTCAGTGGCATGGGTACCTCTATCCAAACGCAAAACAATTTTCTTTCAGTGAGATTCCAATCCCAGCACTTGTTGTGAGTTTATTTATCCCTTTCCCTACTCACAGTGTGGCAATGGTATTCTGCTTCTGTAGCGCTTCCATGGCAGATTTCAGGATGCTGCAGATGCCCTGCTCAACACACCCATGTGACGGAGAGGAAGCTGGCGGAGAAGATCAGCCATCTGAGCACTTGAACATGCACGAGAAGGCTACATGAGAAGTCTCAGAAGACCTCGAGCAGTTTCAAGTCCCAATTGAGAAGGGCAAATGGGAGAAGGACGTTCAGTTTTTATGCCGAAACAAGACTTTCGATGCACAAAAGAACTTGCTCTTCATCTGGCAAAGTCCAGCAGTGCTCATCCCCCAAGGTGTAAAATGGCTTGAGTCTCCCGACTTGGTATATGGATGTTAGAAGCTTGTTTGGCCGCAAAGCAAAACAGGAAGTGTGGCTCTCCATGTATAAAAACAAAACCCATATGACAGAGATGACTGAAATATACTGAAATCATGAGACAAAACGAGATTCAACGGAATTCAACGGAATTCAATGTTGCTTTCACCCGCCACTTGCGACTGCTGTTGGTCTAGCTGTCATGGGTCATGCCACACTGCTGCCTGCCTTGGTGCCGGTTCCAAAGCCGGAGTTTGGACGGTAAAAATATGAGATTTGGATAGATTTGATACCTAAGGCACTTGCAGCAAAGGTGGAATTCAAAGCAACCAAAATGGCCTTCTATCTTGGGCCTATGCTGGTCCTATTTTGGAAAACTGATAGATTCTATCACTGCAGTTGTTCTGGCAACCCTGGAGTCCTTCGTGTGGGGTTTGTGTGAAGCTGTGCAAGCTGCAAGTTTTTCATCCACGTCCATGTCCCTGTGTTGACGGTCAGTCTATGCTTTGTTTGAATTGTCAATGTCCCTCGTTTGTTTGTTGCCAAGACGTGAACATATTGTGGTTGGCCAACAGTTGCCATGTGAGCTTTGCGGCTCCAAAGTGGCACGGACGTCGAGCTTGAGCGGAATCGTTTTGGTCTTTTCAACACACCGCCGAAGCCTCAAATTGAGGTCATTTGAGACAACTTCTCGGATCCACATCCGTGGTGCGATTTGTCCATCCCAAAGGTACTGTTTGAACTTTGAAACCAAGGTAGTGATGGTAGTGGGTATAGGGCAACATAGGTATGAGGATGAGGTGTATTTGGATAGATTTTCCATGATTTTTCTGGGTACAGCATGTAGACGTGAGCGCATGATGTCTAAGGCGAAACTTCTCCGCCATGGAGGAAAATTCAAAACTGCTCTCAGTTTGCACAATAGAAACTGATGAGGCCGGAGGATGCGCATTGATGGTGGCACCCAATTGCTGTGCAAATGCTGTCGAATCCTTGTGCATTGGGAGTGCCAATTGGAAAACGATTTGTTCCGGTCCAGGAATTTCTGAGCTCTTTGGACAGTGAATCATCAGATGGTATGAATCTGAGTATTTCCTGAAGCGAAAGAGAAGAAAAGAGAAGGGTGTGCTTTGTGTTTTTCCTTGGTGTGTGCATGGGTAGTCTGTGTTTTTCCCGTGTCTGTAACGGCTCATGTGTGTTGCGATCCATTTGAACTGCCCAATCTGAATCTGTGTGGAGGATTTCCAGGTGATGTCAGGACTTGGATCTGCTTACTAAAATTTTCCGTGCGCCAGATTCAGATGCTTGACGTTTGTGCAACATTTTGAAACCAGAGGGAAGACTTCAAGTAGCTTGCAAAGTTCCTAGTATCCGCATTCTGGTGGACATGGGGCAATCAACACATGGGTGGGGAGCAGTGAAAAGGCGCTGGGGCGAGCTGATGTACTCGAGGCTCCCAGCCGAAGGAATGGAAAAACATATATATTCCTGCAACCCTACAATATTTTCAATCCGCAATGTCACTGATGCCCCCAATCATCGAACTTGCCCTCAAACTTCTGACAAAAACAAGGTCAAGACGCCAATAATGACCTGGACGGTTTGCTCATTAGTGAAATGAGAATTTAATCAGCACTTCAGCCCCACTTTTGTCTCTGACGTGCAGAAGGAAATGTAACTTTAGCGCGAGTTCCAACAAGAACGTGATTACAGGGCTTGTGAAACGTGTAATACTTCTATGCAACGTGCAATACTTCTATGCAACCTGCAATACTTCTCTGCAACGTGCAATACTTCTATGAAACGTGCAATACTTCTTTGCAACCTGCAATACTTCTCTGCAAAGTGCAATACTTCTTTGCAACCTGCAATACTTCTCTGCAACCTGCAATACTTCTATGCAACGTGCAATACTTCTATGCAACGTACAATACTTCTATGAAACGTGCAATACTTCTTTGCAACCTGCAATACTTCTATGCAACGTGCAATACTTCTATGCAACGTCAAATACTTCTATGCAACGTGCAATACTTCTATGCAACCTGCAATACTTCAATGCAACGTGCAATACTTCTATGCAACGTGCAATACTTCTATGCAACGTGCAATACTTCTATGCAACGTGCAATACTTCTATGCAACGTGCAATACTTCTATGCAACGTGCAATACTTCTATGCAACGTGCAATACTTCCATGCAACGTGCAATACTTCTATGCAACGTGCAATACTTCTATGCAACCTGCAATACTTCTATGCAACGTGCAATACTTCTATGAAACGTGCAATACTTCTATGCAACGTCCACCTCCAAAAAACATTAAATTTACCCAGGGCGTAAACGACGTCGCCAGCAAAAACAACAGCTATAGTTACAGCATTGTTACAGCTAAGGTGACATGGGCTATGACTACATCCCTCAGAAACTGACGGGATCACAGCGTTTGGTTAGGCGACGTCAGATTGAGAATGTGCCGAGTGGAAGAGTGGCAGTCTTGACAACTAAACATGCTGCATGACATAAGAACACATAAGAACACAAAAGAGACCATCATAGACCATCAGTCGTGAAGCTGTTTCATTGTTTGATTCCGTTTGTATTTTCGTTTGATGCTTTTTCAGGTTCTTCGAGGCCCGAAAATACAAACAGTCTGCTTGGACGTTGATGTTGTGCCTTGGGTGCAAGGCAGGCAACATCGGAAGTCACACCTTCACTGCCTTTTTAGTAGCTCTGACACATAGCTCACCAATGTCCATATGATTCTCCACATGATTCTCCACACATTTCAATGCCAAGTCTCCAACCGTACCAAGCTGGTAAGGTTTTAGTGCTCACTTCCATGTCAGTGTTGAGGTGCTATGCACTTGCAACAACAGCGGAGTTCGTGGCCGATAATGACTTTCGAGAAGCCAAGATGGCATCCATGGGTTTCTCGGACAGAGATGGATCGCAGCTGCAGCCAACTTGAGAAGATGAAATCAAGATAAACTGGTACTGGTAATTTATGAAGTATACTAAAGTACACAAGAGAATTGCAGGACAAAAAGAGATCTAGCAGTATTTTTAGCATCGGGACTTCTTTCAATCGCGGCAGAAGAAGATTGAGCAGACAGAATTGAAAGAAGCGAGATTTGCAGGTTGAACAACAGTGCCAAACAAAATGACTTGTCTTCAGCCCAAAAGTCCCCAAATTGCACAAGTGTGTCAATCGTGTGGCCTTGCATGCAATTTGGGAGAATGCATGTATGCTATTTGCAGCCAAACTACGTCTTAGCATTAATCGCAACATATTGAATCACAGCCAAAAGAAAAAGACACTTGAGCTTTGCATTTCTGGAAGCAGTGTGAGCAGAAATTAGGTTCTTCTCCACAAGGGTTCTGTGTTCTGTTTCTCTTGCTCACTCACCCCAACGAAAACAAGTCATCTTCTGTTTCCGAATCCTGAGGGTCTGGCAAGAAGCAACCCCTTTGTTTCCGCAAGCACAGGTCAAGTGGCACGAGCCAACTTTTGCAGCATTGCATTTTTCGCAGCCTGTCCATCCTTCAGCCTTTCGTTATTTTTCAGGAGATGTTCATGTTAGATTTGCACCATGGGTTGCTGAGGGTAGCCACATAGTTTTACTCTGACTAATTGTTAGGATATGCTTTGGTCTTGCAGCTTTACACAAGCAGAACGACCAGATCAACACGATACTGTCTGTATGCCAGACACTACAGGGCTTTGAGAAAGAAATACGAAGAATTCTCTCTATGGAATCTGTCCACAGCAATCTTTTCGGCATATTGGCATATTGATTTCATTGGAGATCCAAGATCCGACAGAGTCCAGCTACGCTGCACGGTGTCTCCAAGTCTCCAAGGCACAAGTATTGAGTTTGCTGACAGCGGTGGTGCTGTCACTGGCAGCAGAAGGTAGTTTCTCCTTTATGCGCCGTGTCCTAACGTTAAACCGCTCCTTGGACCACAATCCAGACATTGATCAGCTGCGGCTTCATTTCCATTTAAAACAATCAGGGAGTCGATGACCATTGGCTGCGTTGGCTTTGTTCAGCCTGAGGTATGTTTCATTTTGGTTTGATTGGCATTATCTTCTTAGCCTCAGAAGGATTCTATTTGGCAGAGACTTGGCCTCCAAGCCCCGCGGTGATGCGGGTGTCTTGCGTCTAGCACCGGCACTTTGCATGAAGGTGTTTTCATGCTTGTGCTGGCACTGCACACTTGTCAGTGTTCAAAGCTGTGGCTTAGAGTCTTCAAGAAGCTATAAATTTGATGGTGGCATGTATATGTATGTATGTATTTAATATGATAAACCATAGTATAATATACGTAGTATAAAATACTATAGTATAATATAATATAAATATAGTAAAATATATAGTAAAATATATAGTAAAATATATAGTAAAATATATAATATATAATATATAATCTATAATATATAATATATAATATATAATATAAAATATAGCTAATATATAATATATGATATATAATATCTAATATATAATATAATATATATAATATATATAATATATGATATATAATATCTAATATATAATATATAATATATAATATATATAATATATAATATATAATATAGAATATACAATATATAAAATATAATATATAAAATATAATATATAATATATAATATAGAATTTATAATACATAATATAGAATATATAATATAGAATTTATAATACATAATATAGAATATATAATATAGAATATAAGCATATAATATAATATAATACAATATAATATACTATAATTTAAAATACAAAATAATATAATATAATATCCTACAATATATAATGAAGTAAAAGCTAATATAATGTAATATAATGTAATCACGAAAGGTAGCCTAGGCTACCTGAGTTCTATGTACTTTAGTACTAGTTTAGTACTGGGGGAGGTGGCTGCTCCTTTCCCGGAAATTGAGACCCGAGAGTCACGAACGGAGACTTAGGGGGGGGGGGCCCCGTGCTATGGACGCTTAGCGTTTATTTGGCAGATAGAGTATATACAAGACTTACCAGGTGCTGCGCGGCGTTTGCTTGACAGCGAAAGGTTTGAGGGCGTGCCCGTCTCTTCATACCAAGAGCGCTTATGCACGCTTTGGCAGCGAGGTTAAATTTATATGAAAGTGAGTTGCTTTCTGCTTGATGAAAGTGAGTTGTTGTCTTTTGACCATCAGTTCCCTCACAGAATCTGCAATTTTGGGCGCCTCACCTCGCCAGCGCTTTTTTATAGCTGAAACCAGAAAATGGCAACTAGTGACGCTGCTGATGCCAAACACGAAAAACTTGTGCTCCTATAGAATAGTTTTGGGTGCTAAAACCCATGCTGATGAAATTCATTCGCTGTGTAGCAAGGCATGATGTAGAGAAGACCAAGCAGCGTAGCATCATGAAGACAAGACCAAAGTCAAGACCATAAGCAGCATAACATCAGTTAGGGAAGGTCAAACTGCGTAGTTTGACGTAGGGAATCCTGCAGAGTAGCATCATGAGGGCAAGACCGAATAGCACAGTATGATACAGAGCGCAGTAAGCAGCATCACAGGAGGTAGGGAAGCCCAAGAAGCCTAACAAGAGGTAGAGAAGGTCAAGCTGCGTAGCAGCATGAAGGCCAGACAAAAAACTCAACAATAGATAGAGAACACAAGCAACATAACAAAGGAAGGTCAAGATTGTAGCGTGAGGTATAAAAGATCAAGCAGCGTACCGGGCGTACCATCTTGATGACAAGATTAAGCAGCATAACATGAGACAGGGAACACCAAGAAACAAAACATACGGTGGGGAAGGTTCAGCAGCGTAGCATGAGGTAGAGACAACCAAGCAGCGTGGCATTATGAAGACCAGATCGAGTAGGCATAACCTGATTTAGAGAAGATCAAACAGCATAACATGACGCAGGGGAGATCAAGCGGCAGCATGAGGCGGAGAAGATCAAGCAGCCTAGCACCATGCAGACCAGATCAAACAGCACTACCTGATGTAGGGGACATCAGCCAGCACAACGTGAGGTAGTGAAGGTCGAGTAGTGTAGCATCGCCAAGGCAAGATCAAACTATCAAAAATCAAAGATCTGATTTGATGTCGAAAACACCAAGCAACAGGAGGTAGGGCCGGTGGTGAAGCAGCGTGGCATGAGGAGGACAAGATCAAACAATGCAGCAGCTTGAAAAAAACAAAAAGGATAACATGGTGTAGGGGACATCAAGCAGTTCGACATGAGGTGGCAAGGTCCAGCAGCGTCACAGGAGATAGGGAAGACCAAGCAGCCTAGCATCATGAAGAACGGATCAACTATATAGCATAACCTGATGTACACGACATCAATCAGTTTGACATGAGTGAAGCCTCGCAGCATGAAGTAGATAAGATCAATCAGCCTGGCATCATAAAGACAAGATCTGGCAGCCTAACATGATACAGAGAAGACCAAGCAGCAAAACATGACTTTGTTAAAGGCAAGCAGTGTAGCTTGATGTAGAGAAGATCAAGCAGCGTAAGAACATGAAGACAAGATCAAGAAGAATAACGTGGCGAAGAAGGCGTCAAGCATCATGAGGCAGGGAAGGTCAAGCAGCGTAGCATGAGGTAGACAAGATCAAGCAACGTAGCATTATGAAGACAAGACCAAAGAGCATATGGCATAACATCTTCGAACATCAAGAAGTATAACATGAGTAGCGAAGGCCAAGAAACGCAATATGAGGAAGAGAATCAAGCAGATCGGCTTGATAAAGAAGAGCACCGCTAGCGCCTCTACTATCTCGAACGCCTACAGCGCCTTCAGCACCTTGAGCGCCCTCCAGCGCCCTCCAGCGCCTCCAGCGCCTTCAGCGCCCTCAGCGCCTTCAGCGCCCTCATCAGCGCCACCCTCAGCGCCTCCAGCGCCCTCAGCGCCTTCAGCGTTTTCACCGGTTTTAGCGTCTTCAGCGCCCTCAGCGCCTTCAGCGCCTGGAGCGCCTTGAGCGCCTTGAGCGCCCTCAGCGCCTTCAGCGCCTTCAGCGCCTTCAGCGCCCTCAGCGCCTTGAGCGCCTTCAGCGCCTTGAGCGCCTTCAGCGCCTTGAGCGCCCTCAGTGCCTTCAGCGTTTTCACCGGTTTTAGCGTCTTCAGCGCCCTCAGCGCCTTCAGCGCCTTCAGCGCCCTCAGCGCCTTCAGCGTTTTCACCGGTTTTAGCGTCTTCAGCGCCCTCAGCGCCTTCAGCGCCTGGAGCCCTCAGCGCCTTCAGCGCCTTCAGCGCCCTCAGCGCCTTCAGCGCCCTCAGCGCCTTGAGCACCTTCAGCGCCTTGAGCGCCCTCAGCGCCTTGAGCGCCCTCAGTGCCTTCAGCGTTTTCACCGGATTTAGCGTCTTCAGCGCCTTCGGCGCCCTCAGCGCATTCAGCGCCCTCAGCGCCTTCAGCGCCTCCTACTTATCATTTACTTTTATGTAAACACATACGAGGAGCTGCTAAGTGCCAAATAGCGCCTCCTACTCGTCATCTACTCTTATGTAAACAATTGTAAACACATACGAGGAGCTGCTAACTGCCAAATAGCCTCGAACTGTCCATCGTACGGGGCCCCCCCCCCCGCATTCGATTCCCCCCTGGTCCGCATCTCGTTCTTTCTTTTTCTTCTGATATGGTACTTACCTTCCTTTATCATCTATCTATCCATGTATCTATCTATTTAGTTGTCTATCTATGTATCTATTTATCTATCTATCTATCTATCTATCTATCTATCTCTCTATCTCTCTATCTCTCTATCTATCTATATATCTATCATACATACATACATACGTACGTACGTACGTACGTACATACATACATACATCCATCCATCCATCCATCCATCCATCCATGCATGCATGCATGCATGCATGCATGCATGACATACAGACATACGCACATATATACATATATACATACATACATACAGACATACATGATGTAACATAACATAACATTACACGACTTAATGTGACATAACATTACATCACATTACATAACATTACATTCGTACATACATACATACATACATACATACATACATTCATACATACATACATACAGACAGACAGACAGACAGACATATTTACAAACATGCATGGATACAAAGGAGTTATCTGGTTAGTGGCCATAGTCAACTGGCCCCATGGTCTGCAACATACACCTAGAATCCTTTCTCGGGCATTGTAGAAGGGAAAAAAAAATACGACCGAGTTTTTCTACTCCGCTCACAAACTCGGTCGTAATTCTGTGGGGCATTTGTTGGCTCTGAATTCGTCACAGCCAAGCAAGAAAGCAACACTGGACACGTCATACCACTTATAATGTTTCATAGCTCTGGTTTACTAAGTCATCCAAATGGACTGTCGTCTATGTACTTGGCTTACACCCCCAGTTACCAATAAATATAACCCCTCTATCTATCTATCTATCTACCTATCTATCTATCTATCTATCTATCCATCCTATCTTTCTATCTATCTATCTATCTAGCTAGCTATCTATCTATCTATCTATCATATCATATCATATCATATCATATCATATCATATCATATCTATCTATCTATCATATCCATCTATCCATCTATCTATCTATCTGTCTATCTATCTATCTATCTATCTATCTATCTATCTAATCTATCTATCTATCTATCTATTTATCTATCTATCTATCTATCTCTCTCTCTCTCTTTCATCTATCTATGTGTCTACCTGGCTATCTGTCTGTCTATCTATCTATCTATCTATCTATTTATCTACCTATCTATCTATCTCTCTCTCTTTCATCTATCTATGTGTCTACCTGGCTATCTATCTATCTATCTATCCATCCTATCTTTCTATCTATCTATCTATCTAGCTAGCTATCTATCTATCTATCTATCATATCATATCATATCATATCATATCATATCATATCATATCTATCTATCATATCCATCTATCTATCTATCTATCTGTCTATCTATCTATCTATCTATCTATCTATCTATCTAATCTATCTATCTATCTATCTATTTATCTATCTATCTATCTCTCTCTCTCTCTTTCATCTATCTATGTGTCTACCTGGCTATCTGTCTGTCTATCTATCTATCTATCTATCTATT